TTCCAATATTGAAACCACAGTTCTCGATACTATTTGAAAATAGGCTCTAATTTGATTGTTTAGAGCCTAGGCTCTATACAAACCACACCCAATACAAAAAGTTTTATTTTTGATAATTATTAGGTGAAAGGTTCGATGACTCGTGTCTTGTCTTTCTTTTCTAGTTTGTCCATTAGTCCAATGTTACTGATATGGTTTTAAATTTCTATTTTTTATTTTTACTCAGTGGCCAGTTCGATATCCCAAACCTTGGACCGCTTGTCTAGTAAGCGAGCTCTAATCGCTATACTGTAGCAATAAGGCACATAAGTACTGGTCCACGTCCTGAACCTCATAACCCTTAAACCTTGCCGGTCCAAGTTTTGGGACATCACACCACCACAACCTCACGCATTGTTTTTTAAAAAAGATGAACTTAAACTGGATATTTGCTAAAAGTGCCTCCACACCACCCACCTGGTCATCTTTTCGTGACCAAAGTGCCTCCTCCCCGTAGCACCATTTTTCTCTCTGTATGCCCCCTCTTTCACTCGTTCCACCATCTCTCTCTCCTCCCTCTTATCACTATTTTTCTATCTACACCACCTCTCTTCCCACATACCACCATTTTTCTATCTCTACACCCTTGACAATAGAATACAGATGAAGAATACAACAAAGAGGCCAATCCTTGGAATTTATTAATTTAAATCCTTGTCACAAGACAAGAAGGTTACTTCTTATATTACAAGAAATCTGGTTATACAAAAAAAGATTGTTATGATTTAAAAAATAAGCAGATGGCTAAGAGAAATGATAGCCATGATGAAGTAAGTGCTATTTATGATGGGGTTACTTTAGTGTTGTATCCACAACATTATCTATTGAAGATACTTGGGTTTTGTACTCTGGTGCTTCATTTAATGTTTATCTTGAAAGATCATATTTTTTTTCATTATATACAAGTGTAGATAGGCATTTTTGTCTATCTTAGCGATAAACGTGCACGTAAGATTTTGGCCAGTGGAAACACATATAAAAAAAAAGTATGATGTTATTGTTTGGATATTTAAAAATGTGAAACATGTGTTGAATTTGAAGAAGAGCTTATTTAACTTCCTATCTCAATATGTGGCCTCCATCAGGTAAGGTGGAGTACTCAAAGTTTCAAATGGGGCTCTATTGATGATGAAGGAAGTCCAGGAAGAAAACATATATATTGTTAGGAAATACAACTGGAAATGAAAATGTAAATTTAGTTGTAAAAGAAGAAGTTCGGCAAGAGGTACATGGTTTGGCAATGGAAAAACTTGATGGGGCAAAGCAAGTTCTATATTCGGCAAAGTAGACAAATTAAGAATTTGGAGTTTCACAAGAGGATATAAAGCCAGAAGCACCTCTTCTAAGTTTTCTTCAAAGTAATAATCTAAATTAGGTGATGAAAGGGTTGATGTTGCCATGATTTGTATTAAAATTATCATTTCATTTGTTTGTTATTCTCTTGATTGACTTGTATTTAGCTTAGGAAGAAAATATTGGAATGGTGGGATGGGTACTTGGAAATTTAAGAAGTATAGGTAAGTATTGCCAAAGTTTTGATCTTATGTGAGACTTTATCGGAATGACTTATGCAAATGATATCGATGATATGAGATCAAGAATCGATTGTGCTCATAGGTGTAGAAGAAATAAATCACCAAACGCATATGCGAAGGCAAGATGGCCCCAAGAATAGAAGGATAAGTGTGTTAAAGTAGGTGGAGTTTGCATGAGAACCACAAGCACAAAGCAGGGTGAGCAAGGCATTCTCATTGATGTTTTTTTTTCTAGAGAGCTTGCAGTGTTGGCTATGTTCTCTAGTTTTTTTAAGAAAAAAATAACCTGATATGGATGGATAATAGTGCATTTGTAGTGATTTTAGAGACTTGGTGATTTATCTTCAAGTATAAGATTGTTATTTTTTAAACCAAATCACATATGTAAAACTTAAGTTTTCTTATACCCTGTTTTGTGCCTTGTTGTTACCCAGTTTTCAAACAAAAAAAGAGGTAGCTTATGTTCTATTTTATTGTGTTATAATGAGTAAAAAGGGTAATTTACATAAAAAAGAGGTAATTCGTGAAAAAGAGGTAATTCAGGAGGTAGTTCGTAAATGGGAGGGAGTTCACAAAAATGAGGTAATTCGTGAAAAGGAAGTAATTCATTTATATTTCTTTTTTACTTTTCTCTCATATTTTCTAGACCATTGAATTAGATCTATCCAAGGGCTGTGGTGCTTTGATAGTCCTATATATAACGGACTTGTTTCTATTTTATTTGAGAGAGAGAGTAAGAGGACGACTGTGAGAAATGAAGGAGAGAAGGAGAGCTCACGTTAGAGATTTTGAGGCCCTACTTTTACCCAGTTTTGAAGAGAGAGTGGGTAATATGAGAGAGTGCTGTTGTGGGTTTGAAGTAAAACCAGTTCTAGTGTAAGGAAGTCATATGGAGGAAGCCTGTCAGTGTTGTAAAGGGACTTTGTAGAGAGAAACCCCTTTTGTTGAAGGTTTTTGGGTATGCTTCACCTTGTAATCTTTTTGACTTAGTATTTAAAGTCTCGCACCATTATCTAATAGATGTAGATCGTTATTTGTGGCTAAACAACATTGAAGCTTGTGTCATTTCATAGGTGATTGTTTTCCCATTATTTTCATTGTACGAGATTTCATATAGCTTCTATTGTATGTTTATGTAGACTGGATGCACAATAGTTATTCATGTTTCACACCCTTGCTGTTTGCACCACTTCCGAAAAACACTACTGGTATCAGAGCTTACGCTCAACTCAATACCCTCCTTCATATCCTATGTCAGAGGAAATAACTTCAGATCAAATCAAGGGACCCTTATTTGCATACTGTGACTTGATGTTCAAACAATATTTAAATAAGAAAAAAAAGTCTAGTTTCATACTTTCTCTTATCTACATAGAGCCTCAAAGGGTTTGGCTTTAGGATGACCGGATGCTTGGGTTTGGCCTCAATTGTGATATTGCACGGCTTATGTCTGTCCTCATAAACAACATTAGGGTTTCGTCATTGTTATGGTTTCTACCTTATAACCAAAGAAGAGGTCCGAACAAATGGGCTCCAGGAAAGTTCAAGAGAGAGAGAGGAGAGAATCCAAGCCCTCCCGGTCGGCTCTGGGACCTCACATGGTTGGATCTAGGTAGTGAGTTCTTAAAGCCAGTAGGAACTGATCCATTACCTTACTAGATCCATTCATATGCCTGGTCCTACAAAGGCTAGATGAGTCTTTGTAATAGGAAATATGGAATGTAAATCCAAGTTGTTATGAAAAAGAACAATGGAGATGTAGTTAGGATTTTTCATTATTTTACTATTTTATTTTTGAAAAGAGTAACATACAGGCATGGAGGTTTGAGGAGTTTTTAGTTTGGAAAAAGTCCAAGTTTACAACCTAATTTATAGAGTAAGGTTGTAGTAATGTCGTCTATTATTTGGATGGCGTAGGTATGACATTATCTTAAAAAAAGTGTCATTTTCGATGTTATATTAAAAGATGTGTCAAATCTACATCATCTCACTAAAATAAACAATATAATTGTTACTGTATAAAAACTGTAGATATATCAAATTTACATCATCTAATTAAAATGAATAATGTAGTTGTTACATATAAAAACTGTACCTTTTATCTTAGCTTACTAGTTCCCTCCATTTTAAAAAAAATTTCTCGAGCGACCGAGGCATATATGTTCCTGCATGATAGACTCTCCCAAGGCCAGTGAGCTTTTTATAACAATATTATTATTGAAATAGAACATTGTTTTTCTATTTGAATATTATTATTTTCTCTAAACCGTTTCTTCTCATTTTTCATTTTCCCATTTCTCTCTTACTTCCACATAGTATATGCACTTTTCTGAGCTTTCTAATTTCCCTCCCTATTGTCGTTTTTCTTGGTTTTTAACTTTCCCTTCTCCTTAAAAACATTGGGAATCCCAATCATTCAAAGGTCTCATTCTTATATTTATTCATTAATGATACAAGGTAATGTTTGGCATGTCCCACTATTCATGAGTAATTTCCGTTCCCCCCTCATTACATGAAAAACAGAGACATTCTCTTGTCCTCCTGCTAAAATGTTTTCCCGAATTAAGGTTACAGTCAGCAAGCTCCAAACACCGGACTTTCAGTCTACAGAATGATTGAGTTTGGGCTGAAATTAATTTCATATTTAAAGAGAACTCAATATCATGTGTGAAACTGAGGTCCAGTTTGGATCGGTGTCTCAGTTATTGCACTAAACAACCTTTTCCATTCAAGCAGGGCAATCTTCGATAGCTATCGGCTCCACACCAAACACGAAATTCAGTGGCCCTGAGCATAAGAGGTTTTATGTAACTTCAAAGCTATCCAAATGACACTTTGGTTTCGGTTTCGGTTTCTCATTTCTTTATACTGCGTAACATCACTTTGTATTACAAGTGCATTTTAGCAAATATTTGTTGCAGTGAAGATGTCACCATGGTTATGACTTTCCATGATCACTTTTGAATTCATTGAATATGTACTATTTTCTTAAAAAACAATGCAGCCTATCAAAATCAAAGGACAGTCACCTAAACTTTCATCATTGGGAAAAACTTCCATTACTTGTGATATGATCGAAAAGGTGAAAACACATCCATTCTATGGATTTGGTTGGGCACTACTTTTATCATTCTACACAGCAAGGACAAGGGCATCATTTACATAGAAATTCTACTAGAGTTGTTGTTTATAAGAAAAATTTAAGTATTATCTTGAGTAGTACAAGTTCACACTACTGGCAAGAAAATATTACTTGTGCAAATAATATGTATATCACATACTTCTCACAAGGTTAAAGGCATCAATTATGTGTCCTAATTGTGATGTCTCCCATTAAGAACATCAGACATCATCTGACCACATACCATGAAACTCAGCATCTGAAATCATCTGGAATTTCCAGAAATGAATGAACACTTATTTCATAGGGAATCACTGCCATCAATCCATCGTCTGTAGGCCTCCAAACCCTCGATAGGTGTGTATTCTGGGACAGTATGGCCTGATCCCTGTCAATTGTCACACCAATCATTTTCTGTCGAACTCACATAGTAGCAAGTGGTTCTGAGAAAATCTTAGTTGAAATAAAGAAGAAAAGGCAGTTTCCAGGGTTATGAACATCATCACAAACCACAAGGCTGTATGTTTGAAATCCACTTATTTAAGAAGAAAAATAAATAAAAGATATTGATGACGTTCAATGGGATAAACAGTATGAGTAACAAGATACCCTGAATGTGGCGTATAGTAAATTATGCTCATATTGAATTGCGTACCTGAAAACCAAACACAAATTTGTCACTGCCAGTCATTTTTCAGTAACCAAATTTCCTCTACGAGTATGATAAGAATAACCATCTACTGAACATATATAAAAATTTCATTTTTCCTTTGTTGCTTTGTATGAATAACCATGATTCACTGGCCTCATAAATGACAATGGAAACCATCAGCCTAACCCATCTAGTGTCGCAGACTCATGTCCACATAGATGACCCTGTCTTATCCAAGATCACGAAAATAAAAAGCTGAAAATGAAATGGTCAGCATGCTCTTCAAGATCATGTTACCATGTTTGTTTAGTTAATAGATTAAGACTATATACCCTGCTATTTGGTCGCCTACAAACCATGGTTGCCATTTCTCGATCTCTGTATAATTCAACAATTTTATCCATTCCATGGTTGCGAGATATGAAACAACCATGTCATGGTCTCCACTGAAAAAAAATATAGAAAGCAACTTGTTAGAAAATACCCGCATGGAGTTTCCAGGAAATCACATAAGATGGAATACATAGAAGCTTTTTAAATTTTCACTCAACTGTTAAGAAACAAGGCAGCTGTCTATAGTACAGTCTGGGAGATCTAGTAACAAGCTCATTGAGAAGAGGGTGTGCCAATAATGTATAAAATGGCCATCCAAAATCCAATATACTAGAGGCCCAACTAACAAATAAATGAACACTATACAAAGCACATGAGTTCTATACTAAGCAAGACAAATGAATCAAGGCCAATGCATATTTGGAAATAGGCATCAACAAATTTAAAGAATGAAAAGCAATCAGGCAATAAATGCTCATATCAGGCAACACATTAGGCAGCAGTGGCAGGAGCGGTGAGCCACTATCCGCAATCAATGCAATGATGGGAAAACACTTCAAAACTAAATAAAAATGCGATAAAGCATTCAGTCATCACATATTACAATAACACTGTCCGGGAAGGAATATACTTACAATGATCATCACTATTTGGAGAAAAACATTGTGATGAAAATATCACAATAAAAAACAGATTTAAACATCAAAGATGATCAGAATTTTACAACCAAGCAAGGCTCAATAATTTCACCCATGATAGACACAAGCTCTCTATATTACAGTGTCAGACAGAAGGGTAATTCTGAGATAGTACTACAATTGCATAGCCAATTGATTTAGCAGCAATAAAAGATTCTTTAATCATTCAAAAAGTATGATGTGGAACCCATAAAATGAGCAGATACTTCCTTCTTTTTTTTGAATGAGAAGATACTTCCTTTTAGCACTAATTCAGATAAAAACATGAATCTCATCCATTCATTCACTAATCAAGGATATAAGTACGTAGAAACTCAAACAAAATTTCCTCTTTTCCTTTACATGTTAAAATCCATGCGCACCACTTTTTCAAAATAATAATTGACTAGTAGTCAACTCTCAAATTTTAAAATCCAATAGCAATTTGCAAATTTAACTACAAGACTTAACAAAAACGGGAAAAAAAAAATCTTAGATGCAAGAAGTGAATTTTGAAATTCATATCAAATGCATACAAGGTAGACCTTTTTTGTCTTAACAGACCAGGGATATCTAAAGCTAACCAATGACTACCCTCGATGAACTTTGCAAACGCCAGAACTAACCTGCGGAATTCCTAAACAGACTTTTTCGACCATCCTATCCCTATACAAGAAAATGCAGTGCACATGCTCTCTCCCTGAAATTACATTTTTTCACTAAAATTCTAAATAAATAAAACCTTAAGCAATGGAAAAGTAAGTGAAACGCTAAAGTATTAAAATAAAGCTGTACGTACATGCAAAAAACACATTAATCATCTTCTCTTATTTGAGATGCTCCTTTTTCAACATGAAAATAAGTATAGAGCCATCTAATTATCCATTTAGGTAAACATTCGATCTCAATTACTACAAAGCAACAAAACATACTCAAATACTACAAACCAACAAAACGGTAAACACTCGATCTCAAATACTACAAACCAATAAAACATACTCAAATACTACAAACCAAGGTACTCGAGACCTGGCCGAGTTGAGTTACTCGGGCGAGTCCGAGTAACTCGCCCGAGTCCAGCTCATTTTTCTTTAAAGAAGATGAACAAAAAAAATTATTATATAAAATATGAGTGCCACTTTTACCAATGAAGTTGTAGACTGGCATGCTGATTGGTCCCCCTTACATAAATGGACCTCTTTACAAGGGCAAAATTTATTCATTGAGCTAGTCAGTACCCCATTCAAGCATATCTGACATAAAATTAAGCTAGTAATATATTTAAAGTTTAAAAACATGTACAACCTACTCAGCCAAAACTCGTGCCGAGTTACTAGGCCGACTCTCAGAACAGTGAGAAAGCTATTTAGGCAAACACTAGATCTCAAATACAACAAACCAACAAACTATACTTCAAAGATAGAGAAACAAAATTACTTGTATATAAACGCCCGATAACCTTTCGTGGTGAGGTTTAAGTGGTACTCAACCAAGCTTCTTTCTTCCACACGATGTGTGAGACGTTTTGTGCACCTTTCCCAAATTCCAGATACTTCTATCTGTGAATATAAAGAAAAGAAAATTTACCTTCACTGAAGAGGATAGACATAAGTATAGATTAATCATAGATTATAACATTGTCACAAAGTATTTATGGGTTGCAATAATTTGCTAAGGCCAATGATTCACAAAAAGTGAAAACATAAACAATTTGCTAAAGGTCATGAAACCCAAAGAGAATCTTAGATCACGTGTTATATTAAAACAAAATAAATGTGCACTTCATTGTAGAGGATATAAACAAACTTCACAATATAATAGAATGAGATTTTCTTCATAGTTAAGGGTTTCTCTAAATAGATGGAACTCCAAGACAGCCAATTTCAGAAACAAATGAAATTTGGACTTCCTTGAAAAGGGATGACACACATCCAAAGTGGGCCACATACCAAATGGTAGGAAATCTAGGGTTTTCTTGTGGAATGATAGCGTTGAAGAAAACAAGAGGTTCAACTTGTTCTGTTGTAAGGGCATGAGTATTCTAGATGGTCGTATGGTTAGAAAAAATCTGATTTAAAAGCATCTAAAGGTTGCTAGTTCATAGGTTAGGCTTTCATAGTAGGTGGTCATAACCAAATACAAAAAATGATGCAAATCGCATCTAGGAGTTTTTGGCTCACAAGACATGTTTGTTATTTTTAAGTTCTTTTTGGTCACTGGAACTAGATTTTCATTTTCATATTTTTTTTTTGTCGCAGGGATGTATTTGTTATTGTCTCTTTGTTTTCAGCCCTAGGATGCATTTGTCATTTTGGTATTTGTTAAGGCCTAGGGAATTTGAAGCAGAGACAAGTTATTTATTGTGTAAAAGTTTTCATGAGTCCAAAAGTCAAAATTGTAGTTTCAATGTATAGGAATTTGGCTTCATGCATGGGAACTTTGGTGCAAGAAGATTGCATGCAAGTATGGGAAATAGGGCACAGGGGTAATCTAGTCAATTTCATATTTTGTTAGGGGTATTTGGATCATTTCTAATTCCAGCAAATTAGTTTATATGTATGGAACATTATTGTAATAGTTAGTTACTTTTGTTGATAATTTGATAATGAAATATTCTTCCTCCTGGGTGTAGAGAGAAAGTTCCCATCCTTGCGTACCAAGAGTACCTTGAGTTGGAAGGTCATCCCTGTGTACTGCAAGAACCTTGAGTTTGACAAGATTAGGGATCGAAAATCCCCTTTCTCTACACTCCCTTGTTCAAGATCAAGGAAACCGGGTCGTTGTTGCACAATCGGCCTTAGATCTATACTTTATGTTGCCGGTTTTGCACCATTTGGTATCAAAGCATATTCGTGGGTATGGCTGCTTCTGGTAGAGGTCGTGGTCAAAGTAATGTAGGTCATGAACTCAATAGGTAGGTGGCGACTGTGCACAATTTAAAGGAGTTGGTGTCTGTACTTTTGGAAGATAGAAATCAGCGAAATGCAAGAAGATCCCCGGCCGTAGATTCCATCCATGAGAGCTTGTTTGGAGAGCACTGTGAATTGGAGATGGAGACAACTTCACTTATTTCAGAAGCAGGGACTGATTCAAGTGAAAGAGTGGGTTCACAAAGGTATCAACAAAAGCATGAGTTGGATAGTGAGTCAAGTGTCCAAATTGAGAGGAGTAGGCGAGCACGATGCCATGAAGACGACTCAGGTATTAAAGACGACTTACTTGAATTTTCTTATTCTTTATCACCAGAAACGTTTTTAGGTTGGTTGAGCACAGTAGAAAGATTCATTGAATGGAAGGATTTGTCAAATACAAAGAAAGCAAAATTAGTTGCGATTAAGCTTCTGGGACTTGCATCCCCTTGGTAGGATTAATTTCAAGAGGCAAGACTTTTTTTTGTGAGTAAAGTTAACTTTGTATTGCTGTAGAGTGTTAGAGTACAGAAGAGGGATCCGAGAGTATCACAAGTTGGGTCTCTCGGTGAAAAAATAGTTCAAGAGACCTTGTACAAAAATTGGGCTTATAGACCTGTCCTATTATAATAGGTATACTTGTGAGTTACAAAAAATGGCGCTTATAGATTTGCCCGATTACAAGATCTGTACTAGGTGTAACTAAACTCCTGTATGCCCTCTGTGGTCTAGAGAAAAAAAGGAAATGGACCGCGCGGGGTCTTCTGCTTGGGCCCTAGCTTCATCTTTCATCAGAAGATCAACGACCTCATTGGATGTCCTCTAGGTATGCTTCCCTAAGACGACCATATCCCTGCAAGTGTAAGCAATCTCATCAAAATTCGAAGATAGGTACCATGGAGGTGGTAAAGGGCCTCCTGCCCAGGAGATGACATTTTGGGCATCTCCTTCCACCAGCAAGTGTGATCCCCATGAATGGTTGAAGCTTTTAAGACCCAAGAGCAGAGCCATGGCTTCAGCATACTGAGAGTCTTCATACCCTAAGTGTTCGAAATAAGTGAACAGGATATTGCGATGATGGTCTCGGAAGACACCTCCGGCTTCAACAGGGCTAGGGTTCCCTAAAGAGCAACCATCGAAATTAAGCTTAATGATGCCTTCTGGAGGTGGCAGCCAGTTGTTGGGTCTTTGGAGCTTCTGAGGTTGGAGATAGAGGATGTTTTCACATTGGCTGAGAAAAGTGTTCGCTGAAATCCCTGAGAAGGCCTTGTAGAGAAGTGACCTTGTGGAAGAGAACTAAGACTACGTTTTTGTGGCATTTAAGACCCTGGCATTCCTTTCTAACCAGATGACCCAGATAGTAGCTGTGATGGCATCCTTCCACAATATTCTACCGGCCTTCGTCCAATGACAAGTATATTACGAGGAGATAAGAGCCTTGACCGAGGGTGGAGTGACCCATTGAAGGTGGAATAGCTGTAGCACTTGGCTCCACAAGTCATAAGCAAGACTGCAGTGAATGAAGAGGTGTGGATTCGATTCCTCCTCACTCAGGCATATAACGCATCAGTTGGGGATTGGATTCCCTTTCTTTTGGAGCTGGTCAACTGTGAGAGCCTGTTGAGAACAAGCAATGCAATTGAAGGTCTGCACTTTGGGAGGAGCAATGGTGGACCAGACCTTGGAAAGGACAAAGATAGGATTGAGTGCGAAGGAGGGGGGTTGAATAAGTCTTTTGTAAAACGAGGCCATTGAGAAGGTACCAGAGGGAGCAAGGGTCAAGACTAGAGAGTCCCTCCCAAGTGGACCTATGAAGATGGGATCCAAAGCAGCCGAAAGTGAGAGGAAAATTCTAGTTTCCTCTTCAGTTACTGAAAGTGAGAGGAAAATTCTAGTTTCCTCTTCAGTTACGGAAAGAGGTCCCTTAAAGGAGTGTGTCCTATCCAAAGGTTTGACCAAAAGCGCACTCTTGTACCTTCTCTAGAATGAAATCGGATGGATTGTTTGAACAGTGAGAGGGAGGAGGAGCAGGACTTCCACACTCTTGAGGCCCTACTCGGGGATTTTCTCTCAAGCACCCAAGTTTCTTCCGAAATCCTGTATTTGCTGTGCATGACCTGAACCCAGAGGGAGTTAGTCTGGGTGGCTAAGCGCCACCACCATTTCCCTAGTAGGGTTAGGTTGTATTTTCTTAGGTCCCTAATCCTTAGCCCTCCCTGGAGTTTGGGTAGTGGGACCTTGTCCCAAGAGATGAGGAGGCATTTGGTTTTCTCGGCCTATCCTGACTTCCTCATTAGTTGGTCTAGACGGTTGGCCATCGAGGCTAGCATGTGGAAGATAGACATTAGGTACACCGGAGCATTTGCCAATGTTGCTTTGACCAGTGTAGTGTGGCCTGCCAGAGAGCGGTATCACCCTTTCGAACCTGCTAAACGCTTGTCAAATTTGTCTATGACTTGGGACCGCTGTCTCTTTTTAGGTTTTCCTAGTCCCAAGGGTAGACCCAGGTAGGTGGTTGGAAAGTCCTCCACATAGCATTCCCAATTTGGAATTAGTGCCCTGGTTTCGGCGTTTGTGAGTGCCACCCCCATCATCTTTGATTTATCCATATTGACTTTGAAGCTTGTAGTTGCCACAAAGCATTGAGAAAAGGCCACATATTTTCAATTTCTTGTGGAGAAGCATCTAAGAACACCAAGGTGTCATCTGTGTATTGCATATGAGACTATTGGGCCTTGAGGACTACAATTGAAGCTAGTGAGGAGACCTTCCTTGTACATACGAACGATTGAGCGACTAAAGACTTCTCTGTGATGGCAAAAAGAAAAGAGGATAGTGGGTCCCCTTAGCGGAGCCCCCTCGAGGAAGGAAAGAACCCTTTTCGAGTTCTGTTAATGAGGATCGAGAAGTGGGGATGAGAACATCAGCCTCTCATCCACTTTCTCCAGAGGTTCTCGAATCCCGTTCTTGCCATTGTCTCGTCCAGCAATGACCAGTCTACGTGGTCATATGCTTTTTTCCAATCAATTTTGAAAATAAGATCAGGCTTCTTGGAAATGTGCTTAGAGTGTACGCACTCGTGTGCCACTAAAGCCCCATCTAGGATTTGCCTATCTTTGATAACGGCTGATTGAGACGACGATATGATTAGGGGAAGTAGTTATTTTAGCATTGAGGCAAGAACATTGGGTAGAATTTTGTAGGATGAGTTGAGCAGGCTAATTGGACGAAAGTCCTTTCATTCCTCTGCCCTTCGACCTTAGGAACTAAAGCAATAAAGGTGGCATTGATTGCTTTATGAAGAATTCCCCGTTGGAATAATTCCTCAAACAAGCTTTTGAAGTCTGGTTGGAATGCTTCCGAAAAGATTTTGAAAGGGGCAATGGGGAATCCGTCTGGACCCGATGCTTTGTCTTTGGCTAAGTTGTCAATAGCCTTGGAAATTTCCTCTTCTGAGAAAGGGCGTTCTCGCCAGAATGCCTAGTGGTCCAGAAGGATTAAGAAATCGAGGTTGGTCATCCTTGGTCTGTGACCCAGAGGGGTAGTGTAGAGGGTCTTGAAAAATCCAAGGATGGTCGACTCAATTTTCACTAGCTGAACCAAATAGCAGTTATCCATCTTGAGGGAAAATATAAGATTCGAACTTGAGC